TGTATGTATGTATGTATGTATGTATGTATGTATGTATGTATGTATGTATGTATGTGTGTATGTATCAATGCAATGCAATGCAATGCAATGCATGTTATGTCATGTTATTATGTTATGTTATGTATGTTTTGATATGTTTTGTATAGTTCTATTAATTTGTATTGTATGTAATTATGTAATTATGTAATGTAGTAATGCATTTATGTATGTATGTGTGTAATGTAATTAATGTATGTATGTATGTATGTAATTAATTAATTAATTAATTAATTAATGTGTGTATGCAATTAAAGTATGTAATGAATTAATGTGTGTATGCAATTAAAGTATGTAATGTAATGTAATGTAATGTAATGTAATGCAATGTAATGCAATGCAATGTAATGTATGTATGTAGGTGTGTAATGTATGTATGTATGTATGGAATGGAATGGAATGGAATGGAATGGAATGGAATGTAATGTAATGTAATGTAAGTATGTATGTCATGTATGTAATGTATGTATGTAATGTAATGTAATGTATGTATGTTATGGTATGTTATGGTATGTAATGTAATGTAATGTAATGTAATGGTATGTATGTATGTATTTATGTATGTATGTATGTATGGTATGCATTTTATGTATGTTATGTAGGTTATGTATGTATGTAATGTAATGTAATGTAATTTAATTTATTGTAATGTAATGTAATGTAATGTATGTATGTATGTATGTATGTATTAATGTATGTAATGCGTGCAATGCATGTAATGTATGTTAATTAAAAGTATGTTTTAACTCAAACCCAAGTATATAATGTATTACTGTATTTAAAAAAACATATATGACTCTAATATGTGATATATTCTATGTAATGTATTATCTAATATGTCTGTCCAATAATCAACCCTGTTGGCCATGAACCGTTTTTTCCCCGTCACTTCTTTGGACCCCGCCTGGACCGTCATCCTGGGTTCCTTGGATCGCGTTGGGCGTCTCCATGGACGCGCGGCTCATCCCATGGAGAGCTTTGGGTCCCAGTCGTTTTAGTCCTGGCTTCGGAAAGACATGTGTTGGGCCGTTTTCGTTGATGTTTTTTGAAGAGTTCCTTGTTCAAGTTGATCAGTCAAATGTGTCATAGTTTCTTCATAGAATCTCGTAACTTCCTAATTGAACATTGCATAGCCTCTCAGTGTTTTCAGCTAAGATCGATATATATATATATATATATTACACACTATGTGATTTGGGTTTCAGCGCCAACTGCTGATGAACAGTGGCTAAATCCCAGACACAAGCTTGTGCAGTAGTGCAGTTGCATCGAAGGTGCCTTCCTGCGTTCGGCAGTGGCCAGCGATCCTGGTGTCGATCCCACGTCGATCTCTCGTTTGGGCGACTGCTGGCCTTAGATCCAATTTGGTGTGTTGTCTTACTTCCCTAAGAATCCTTGGGCTCTCCATGGCAGGGGTCGGACCCGACACCTTCGCAGGGGTCCGGGCCCGAAGCAAACCCTATGTGTTGGTGAAGGAGCCCGGATTCGCTCCGCTTTGGAGTCTTCAAGTCTCCGTCGGTCAATTGGGCTCAAGCCGATGGCCGTCTCATGCCGGTCGAAAGCACCGATGGCCGTCAACATGATCCTCCGGTACAGTCATTTGCAGCTGGACCTTCCACAGAATGGATGGGACGGAATGTGCCAGTGGGGAGGCGATGAAATCGCAGCCTGCTCGGTACCAGACATGTACCACCTACAGCCACCTTGTCACGGTAGTTGTGTCGTGGCTGATCGAGGGGCTCAATCGACGATGCATGTGGCAAGCAACCTGGTTGGCCCGGTGGACGCACAGCACGCCTGTCAGCTCCAGAGCTTCCAGGGTTGTGGAATGGGGGAATCGGTTCCAATGATGGAGTCAAACCTTAGCTTCGGACAGGGAAGCTGGCAGGGTGAAGGCACCAACTGGGGGCAAGAACGTCTCTCGAACCAGCCCTTTACTGCACAGCAGGACCATGACACGGTCGATCCATACAGCTCTTTACCGGCTGAGCTCAGGCCGACACTAGAAACTTCGAAGGCAACGCAGTGTGAAGAGGTGGATGAGGACTTTGAGCGTGACGTGTTCAACGCAGTGGCCACGTTTCTTCAGGGCAACGACACGGACAGTGACTCTGAGGATGAGCTTGAGGACTCGGCAGAGACTGGGCCGACGGCAGATGTGCCAAGGTCAGGGGATGAACAGCTCGTGGAGAATCTCAAGCTCGACCCGCAACTGTTGACTCTCATGGGTCAAGTTGACACGCGGCTCCAGCAGAAGTCTTTCCGCAGTGAGACGCCAGCGGCAACTGACCTTCAGCTCCATGGAGTCAAACCTGGTATGTTGAAGCTGTTTGAACACTTGACCTCGAGTCAAGAGAGTCCAGCTCCAGCTTTGGCCATGCCAAGTGCACAACCTGTCCCAGCTCCACAGGCTCTTCCAAAGCCTTCACATTTGGTTCGCCCGTCAGGTCGCCAGTCGCCCATTGGGCCAGAGCTTCAACGTGGGCAGTGCATCGGTGCCTTGCTCAAGATGAAGCCTTTGCCACCAGGAATCACTGCTGCAGACTTGGCACACTTGCGGCTCCTTGTGACTTGATCATGTTATCAGGGTGGTCATGGGGACCTGGGGGGCCCTGGGGGGCTGGTGGCGGGGTTGTTGAGCTTATCATTTAAGGTCTGGATAGCAGCCAGCTCGCTTAAATGATAGGGTCTGGATGGCTGGGTCAGACCGGTATGAAATACTCCCTGTTGATTCAAGAGGTGCAAAGTAGCCAACCCATCCAGGGAGATTAAATCCAGGGTGTCGACCATTCTTGTGAAATGCTTGGAGGCCTAAAGTTTGCAAAAATGGAGGCTCCATGAAAGGCCCACTGACCCTGAACAAATAAACCTCTAATACAATCAATTTCAGGCTTATCCTTTGAGCCTTTGATAAGCTCTTAATAAGCCCTTAATGGACCTCTATTAGGATGTTAATAAGCCTCTGACCTGACCCATTACCTATCCAGAGCTTACATCATAAGCCCAAGGGTCCCCCCCCCACAGCCCCCCCGACTCCATGATGAATATGTATATAATTATTCCTTTTGCAATGGTGAATGCCTTTCTTGGAGTTTTTGTTTTTTCTCAGGGTCCTTCAGCAAATCCGAGGTGATGAAGGTCATCAATGATTTGGTCCATGGTCAAGTTCTGCCAACCCTCGGCAACATCACAGAGTGTTTGCTATGTGAAGGAGTTGGAGAACCTACAAGTAAAGCTTTGCTCAATCTTTGCGACATTTTCTCCAGCACCTTTTGCCTGTGGGTGCCAGAAGAAGGTGAAGTGAGCATAGTACTTCTGGAGGAGCCGTTACCTCCGCTACCAGAAAAGGTCGTCCAGCAGTTGCAAATGGGTGTAGCAAGGCGGCTCAAGCACAAATTGAACATGATGAATTTGGCGTGCATGCGCGAGGCAGCCGATCCAAGTAGCCGTGATTTGGCTGAGGTACTGGCCAGGGAGGGAGTGACCACGTTGATGATCAAGAATCTCCCAACAAAGCTCCAGCAGTCACAGGTCATAGAAGAGATACTCAACACGGGCTTTGGTGGGAAGTACGACTTCTTCTACATGCCAGGGAACTTCACCCGTCTCCCCCACAGGTTATCTTTGGGCTACGCCTTTCTGAACCTGAAGGACGTCCAAAGCATGAAGGACTTTGTGACAGTCTGGCACAACAGTACCAGGCTGGGTGCTAAAGACTTGCCTTTGAAGCTTTGCGCGGCCCATGCGCAAGGCCGCGACGCCAATGCGAACAGCGTTTGCCCAAACAAGCAGCGTATCCGCAACCCATCCTTTCGACCCTTGATCTTGGGCACGTCCTCGGAGAAATCAGAGGAGATAAGTTGAGCCAAGAATGCTTGGCAGCTTGCGAGAACCGCCAAGTCGTGGTCCGTGGTTGTTCTCCAAGGGCATTGTCCTAGTGACTAGTGGCTGCGTTTCACCAAATGTGAAATCTTATGCAAGCATGCTATTTGGTGGTGGAGAGGAGGCGAAAGAGCTGGATGCTTGGTGTTCTATACAAGGTCCGTTGACAATGATGATATAATACTGAAAGTTTCCTCCAACCACCATGTATATAGACGAATCAATACCCTGCAAGCTACTTCAATGGCCGGTTTCTCCAGAAGAACCCCTTTTGCCAAGAACATTAATGTACAAGACTTTCTTTTCGATGCACAAAAAGCATCGACCATCCAACTTGTTTCAATCCCAGCTGCCTACCATCCTATCCTTTGCGAAATCGCAGAAACCAGATACAATAGCGCTGTGCGTGCGCCCCGTCGTGCGTCGCGTCGTGCGTGCGTCGCGTCGTGCGTGCGCATCCGAGTCGCGAGCCGCGAGTCGCGACGACCGCAGGTGTGGTACCGGGCGGTGGCCAAAACCCTGGTGATCATCACCAGCGGCCTCATGATCACCAGCCTCTCGGGTTTCACCCGAGGGCCGCGAGGGGCTGGGCCGCGAGTCGGGCCGAGGGCTTCGAGGCGAGGGGCTGGGCGAGGTTCAGAGGGAAAAAACATTTGAATAACTGGTCGGTGCGGATGTTTATATTGTTTTACGATGTTTTACGTACGATGTTTGGTTGCAGGTTGTGTTTTTTTGACCTGGTCAACGATGTGTTTGAGAGTTTGGGCCTGTCATGAAGTGAAGCTAGTTTAATATGTATACATATGATATATATATATATATATCATATAATTGTATATAATATGTTATTTCTACGACGCTACTAGGTTGGAGGCTATTCCTACTATATAGTAAGAAGCTAGCAGTAACAAGTTCGCTACTAGTAGCGAGCTTTCAAGCAAGCTCAACACTTGGGAGAGTTGAGGAAGAGAAGAACCCCAGCCCGAAGTCGAACGCTGCGAGAACTCGAAGTCTTCCCCGCTGCGTTTTCCCCTTGCTGCCCCTCTTCGAGGCATTGGAGAGCTGAAGTTCGATGCCTATGGCGCCTGGGTTTGGCAGCATGGGTTATGCCTGGGGCTCACTGGTGAGCGGAAGAGGGGGTGGGAGTGATGGGAGTGATGGGAAGAAGAGATCTTATTGACGTTCTTCAAAGATTTTCTGATGCACCCAGTTGGTGGTATATCATGCAGATAGTCGGACGGGCAGGCTTGCGGTCGGTGGTGATGTAGGCAGTTGGTGGGGGTGGGATGAGATGTGAGATGTGAAGGAGACAAATCTGGATTGTGCATTTGGTATAGTTGGAACCGCGACGTTTGTTCTGGTTCTTTGCAGTGATTCACGCTTAAGACCATAGCTGTGTGCGATGTAGATGCAGGTCTTTTTAGGACTACCCGAACCAATCATGGTGGAAGTGGAATACAGCGAAGTGGAAGTCCCAGACACGACCTGTCTGGGACTGCCATAGGACTGCCAATCAGGCCAGGGGTGGTGTGAGTTTGGGGGGTCGGCCTCTGTGGCGGCAGTCCGTCCTGGCAGTCCCAGACAGGTCGTGTCTGGGAGTGGGGGGTGCTAGTCGAGCCCAAACATCGGGCGTTCCATCCAACGATCCGAGCCCGACTCACGTGTCGGATCCGGCGGAATGGGGACGGTTCGGAAGCACCGGCACCGGGAAGGCGATTTCGCGGTGGACCACACTGGGTTTCGGTGCGAGGCAAAGAAAAGAAGCAGTCTAGAAAGATGAACAGCTTCAAGAACCCTAAGAATACCCTGAGTCATTAATGGCTTTTTATCCGAGCTTCATGTGTTTGACGTATACGGATTTTGGGACCCAGGTCGGGAAAAAACACCGATGTAACTTGAAGGGTCGAGCTGAAAGGATCTTCACGGATGTTGACCGGGATGTGTTGACCTGCCGGACCTCTCGGCTCTCCCAACAGGCTTTCTCATGCAGGTTCTGGCACTCTTTGCTGAAGCCTTCCGGATCAACCTGGTGGATGCTCAGCTGGAGAGGGTTTCCTCCCATGAATCGAAGGGGCCAGGCAGGTTCTTGGAGCAAGTAGGGTCTTGTGGGCCCAAGGTTGTTCATGGTTCGTGACATCACGTTGATATCTACCCTCCCACTCAGTTAGAAGCAAGTGTCCCGGAAGAGGTTGAAGGTGAACATCTACAGGAAAACCATCCGTTGGGGGGTGAAAACAAAGGTTTCCTGCAGATTGTCCCTTAAACCAACTCATTGAAAGTTGGAGTTGAGAAGGCGATTGCCCTCTGAAAGCCGCGGATGCGACTTGCATATCAGTGAGAGAATTGGAGTGTGTTTTGGGATGTCTTCACAGGGCATGACTTTAAAGCAGTTTGACTTATAATATATAAGAAAAACACGTGCCCCACTATACTATTTGTGAGGCGGAGAGAGTGGCAAACAGCAGGTGAAACGTACTAAACAGCGAACAGCAAGTGGCAGCGAGTTCCAGGAAGATTGATTTCCATGTTGTGCGGTGCCGATGGAGAGACATGAGGCTGGTTATGTTTGGTTGATGTTTGGACCTTTGAAGAATTCAGATCTCAGTGTGTCCAAGGTCAGTGGCGTGGCGTGTTGACGATTGGATTGCCGTAAAACATGGCTTGAACCAGCAAAGACGATATTGGAGTCCATCTCACACGGAGGGTGAACTCTATCGGCCTTATATGTTGGTAGATCGAAGATGAGGCTGAGTCGAGCTGTGGTTTAAGCGGAGTCGAGCTGCCTGTTTCTGCATCCTTGAACTCCAAATCCGCAGAGTCGATTTGCTCACAGATATGGTGTGTTTTGTGGACCTTACACGCACCTCACCAAGCGAAGAACTTCATTGTTCGCTCGCTTGCACCTTCGATTGCAAATGGGCGGCACACACTCAGGAAACGAGACTGAAGTCTGCTGGCTACAAGCTCAATCCTTTGAGACTCTTGGTCGAACCCATCGGTCGTCCGCTGTTCGTTCTTCGGCTGTTCCGCCGCTGGGGCTCCAACCGAAGAAAAAGCTACGGTGGAACCCATGCAGAACCCACCAAGCCACGGAAAAAAGGACCTGCACCGAATGAATCAAGAAGGGAGATTTCTCCCAGGGGGGATGGGGCGGATTCTGGCATGGTTTATACGTGAATGACCGTTCTTGTGTGGAGTGCGGTGAGAACCCCCCCATGGTCCAACACGCCCAAGACGCCGAAACCCCTGGAGATTGGTTAGTTTGATCCCCAACAGCTGGGACCGTCACAGGGCGTCACGCCGTCCCGGTCACGCCGTGGTCTTGCCCGTCGATGTCCTGACGTCAGGCTCTGTGCTGGCGACTGCTCCAGTGGCATCCTTGTTGCTGCTACTCATTGGACTCATCTTTGACCGGGATGCTCTCAATGCACAGGACAACGAAGTAGGAAACGACCGGGGCCGCTTTAGTGCGCGTTAGTGCTTTCTTTTTTCCTGTTTGCGCCCACGTGTCGGGCGCAGTTAGATGTTTCGCGTTGTGTTTTTGTTTTTTTGTTCGGTAGGTGTGTAATGATTTGTACAAACGTTGTACTATTCCCAGACACGACCCATGGGCCAGGGCTGGCTTTGGGGTTCAATGTGCATATTGTGTGGTAGTCCGAGTGTATGGGCTATCACCCCCCCCAAAAAAATATAACATCGAAGATCGTCTTGCAACACATGACTTCGAAGTCACTGAACCCCGTCGTTTCCGAGAAAAAAGGCCGGTCGTCACGTGCCGCGCGTGCGCGCGTGCTGGTCCGTGCGCACATGCCGCGAGTAGCAGGCGCTGGAAGCCATTGGTTGGCCCAAGTTGGTGGCCAATGGCCTCGCTGCTCGGAGAACGGACTGGGTTCGAGGATGGAGACTGATGTCGGACCCAGGTTCGACACCAGCAATAAGAAACCCTTCCGCCTTCCCGTTTGGATTGAACAACCGCTATATATTATATGGGGTGTTGCTTTTAATAGTCAAATAGTCTACATTAGTCAGCAGATGTCAGCAGTTGAGAGCACAAGCGGTCCCACCAAACGTTCTGCAGTGGACTACTGGAATCCTTTGGCGTATAAGATGTGGTAGGGACCCCGCAACAGAGATGAAATGCATGGATGTTTGTTCATTTTTCAGTACTTAGGTTTTTGTTGCATGCTTTCTCACAAACCAACTTAGCAACCAACACATGAGCTTGGAAGCTGCTTTTCTATGCTTTTCTACAATTGGTCACGCCGAAAGGCGCTGATACGATCATTGGTTGTACTATTCGGATGTTTGCTACAGTTTGTCCAACAGACATGTGAGACGAAGTCACACTGTTAAATGTTGTAATATGTTGTACTATAACTATACAATACATTTCCTCAGATGTTTAAGAGTTTTGTTCAAATGTTTGGTGGTTTTTGTGCCAATGTGAGGTTGGTCTAGAGTCTACCGCATTCCACTCCCAAGTGTGGAATCACCCGTCTTGGGTAAGACCGCTCACCGCTCAGAAGACCGCTGAGCCCCGCATGTCGCATGCTTTTCTTACGGGCACATGGGCACAGCGGCAAGCACGCTACACTGCAGACATGTTGAAAGCTACACTGCCTGGAACTGGAACTCTACAAAACTGGGGGTGAACACTTCTTTTTTAGCTCCAGGGAGCGTATCTCTCCTTCTGCCGGACTACAAGTTCCCTAATTGCCCCCCTAATTGCCCCCTGTGCCATTTGGATCTTTCAGGACTGAGTGACCGGTTGCGGGAATGAAGGGTGGTGGAGTGGGCGGTGGGATCCACGTCGACATGTTCTGTAAACCTGCGGTTTGCCCGCTAGTGACTGGCGAGCCATTGAGCACTTTTGAGGGGCATTGGTTGCTCCATGCTTTACCTGCCTTTTACTTCTTACTAGAACTGTTCCATATTTTGGAAAAATGTTGACATTTTCGGGAACTGATGTGACTGAACAGTCGATACACATGTGAGAAAACTCCATCTCAGGACTCAGACCAGTCAGTTTGGATCCATGGAATGATTTCGAAGCTAGACTCTAGATGGTTGCAGTTTAGATTTGGTGACCTTTATCCTTCCGGCATGCCCATCTAGTAGAAGCATCCACGCTTTAGGATTTTCGGCCATCTCAATCATGACCTTACTCACTCACCTGGAAAACAAAACAAGCCGACCATGGGCTCGAACTCAGAACTGAGAAACCTCCCTGAGAGCTGACCAGGTCGCTTTCTTCCTCAACGTGGCGATCTTCTTGGCGATCTCCGTGTGTTCGGGCTTGGTCTACTCCTTAGCAGGCATTGTCAAGGCTTGGTCTCTCACGTCGCCGAGATGCCAACTGTCTCGGGCGCGGAGAGCCGTTTGAAGTCCCAAGAGGTTCTGATCATCCGGGACTTCTCCCAAATTCTGCATGGCAATGGGCAGATGAGACCGAACAGTTGATGCGTCATTGGAAAGGCATGTGGAGTGCAGTTCGGAGTTTTTCGCACCCCCGCTTTGGACGACTGTCTTACATGCCTTTGGTGAGAGGCATTTCAGCCGAACCCAGAGACAGACCGAACGGTTTTGACCGAGGTAGTTCTACGCGAATGTGGACCATCTCAACTCGATAGCAACTCGATAGCTGCCAAGAGAGGTTTAATGACATTATAGGACCCTACTGGGGTACCTTGGGATAGGCTATAGGGTCCTTCAACCTTTGTTGCTGGATGCGCGACGCCACGGAGCCTTCAGAAAAAAGTACTTTGCATATCTCTGCCATGACGCACACATGCAGCCCGTGTTTCTTGCAAGAGCACGTCATAACTCGAGTTCGTTGAATCGTTTGAAGGGTGTTACGGCCAGCCACTATGATGCAGCAGCGCGTTTGGCCATCAGCCGTCCGCAGGATATCTCCATCATTTTGGGCTCCGTGTTGATCATGGGCAGTTCCGTTTCTTCATTGCAAGTGGTGGGCTACAGCGTAGCGATTGGAAGCTCAGCTGAAGATTACTCGGGATGAATGTGGCAGAAAGATGCCACTTGTGCTGCAATGAAAGGCAGCCTGTTGAATGGATCTACTTTTTTGACACCCTACCAAGCTGGTAGATGGTTGCATGTAGCCTGCGTGTCTTTGGTTGGTACCAACACCGCCGACATTGGACGCCGGGACGAACAAGACATGTCCACCATCTCCGAACTGAGTGGACTTGGCATCGCTGGGGCTACCCTCCCAACTAACATGGAAGTGGAAGATCGACCTTTTTGTCCAGGAAAACGGTCATCCAAGGGGCCAAGCCTTCCACTTCCATGTTAGTGAGTTTTTGGAAGTTTGAGGTGGCCCAAACGCCATCGTTTCCCTCCCAAACATGGTTTTTCAGACGTCAACCTCGGAGTCTCCTGCCTCAGGCTGTCGGGACCGACCTCAACCCCCTCAACAGACAGTGGCATGGTCCTGCGGACCGCATTGACGCACGATGTCTGCGTAGAAACAAGAAGCTACGAACGGAACAAGTGCCACGCTATAGTAGTAACAAGTGCCTTACTAGTAGTAACAAGAAGCTATTAGAAACAAGAAGGGCCATTCATGACCTTTGCCCAGTTACGACCTGTGCGACTGTTCAAGTGACCCAACCCAACACCACAAGGCACGAACCTCCCATCTGAGACGGATCCGCCCACGTTTTCTTCGGTCGACTGTGTCCTCTTCCCTTCGGGCACCGCGTCGGTGGAGCCCTTCCAGCGCTGGCCCAGGAGGGATCCAGACCTACGGCGGCTTGGGTGGAAGGTGTTTCTCATGTTTTTTTTCGAAGAAGACGGCGGGGTGAGGTGTGGTGGGACTCAAGAGGTGTTCCATTTGGTGAAGCAACATATGTGACATATGGTCATATGGTGATCAAGATGTGGTTTCTATCATGTGACAGGTCCCCACATTTTAGCTAGTTCCATTTAGGAAAAAACAATAAAAAACATTCCCACGAGGATGGCGGGCTTGCATGGATGGTCTGTGATCATGGATGTTTTTTTTTTTTTCAACTGTTGTTTTATTTTTTTGGTGGGGAGATGGGATGTCAGACAGCTACTTGCTTGGTGACTTCGAACCCACATAGTGTCGTTTATATAGTTTGGAGTTCTTCTCAACCTGTTTTTTCTCAGGAGTTTTGTGTCTTCGTAGAGCCGACCCAAGCAAAACAAGAAGAAACAAAGGTAGACAGGCACCTTAGTGAACTGGCTGCAGTCAAGACTTGGACTGCAGAGGCCAAGCAGTTCACTGGAGTCATGTAGTCCCAATTCAGTCCCAACAAGGAGGATGTAGGGATCCCAGACCACGCGTATGTACGCATAGATGTCAAACCAGGGCAGAACAACTCCAACAGCGGCAGCGATGGTGTCCATTCTTGTGGGTGACCCATCAATCTTTTGTGTTTGCGGAGCACATCGCCAGAGGTCAGCATAGGACATAGGGTGAGCTAGCTGTTCCCACTCAATTCTCTAACAGTGAACATTGCTGGAAGTTCCTATCTACGAGGCCTGGTCAGCAAGGAGCCTGCCAAGTTTGATTCTGCTGGACTTTGCATTGGTTTGTGGCAGCACCTGAGTCTTATGAGCCTTGGCCTTGATTTCTCCACCCGAGAAAATTCGTCGGTGTCAACCAACAGGAATGTCAATGTCCAAAGCATCAGGCCCAGCACCAGGTCCAGTCTGCTTCCATGTGCTCTTTGGCTTGTTTGAAAGAGGGCTCATGCACTGACCCTTTGTCCGGCCGAGTCAGAGAGGTGCCGAGAGACCTTTCTTGGACCGAGCAGTCTGGGTATCCAAGGACCAGTCCTGGTACTTTGCTGGCCGTGGCACCTCAAAGCATAGGTGTCGATGAACAGCAGTGGGAGAAGAAGAAGGAGGCGAACAACTCCAAACGGATCTCAGCACATGTCAACTCTTAGGTATGGTCGTATATAGTTGTTCAGCTCAAGCTTCTACGCAATGCAAACAAAACAACCATCTTCCAGCACCACCCACTTTGGGTGGTTGATAGACCCCCATGACTAGATCTATTTTCCATCCCCAGACACTAGTCTAGGGATCCACATACCTTCTCAGGAGGTACGACCGGGCCCGACCCAGGCACCTACATCACTGGCCTCTGTTTAGTTAGGAGTTAGGAGTATTTTAAAAAAA